CTGGCTCGAGTTTGCCACAGTGAGGGGGAAGTGAAGCTCAGGCAGAAATTGCTTTGGAAACAGAACAGGACGTGGAACCTTGGTGAGATGTACATTCGGAAATATGCACTTGTGAGTATTCGATCATTTCAAATACCTCCCGACAAACCACTCAGCTGGATGATTTGTTCTCTTTTCTTCAAAGCTGCACTGATAGATGCGGTGTGAATCCCTGTCAGACGTGTGTCGTAGCGGTGAACACTGGTGGAATGTAACTAAGTACATACACTCCAGAACTGTTCTACTAGAGGTACTTTCTATTAGGATGGAGGATGGGATGGTTAGGATTCGATCGATAACAGAACTGTTATCTACACTACTATATTTCTTCATACACTTAGTGATTCTTTTTCAATATGTGTCTGGAAATTTTTTTTCATTTCTAAGAGTTGACATTGCCGAACTATTCCAACATGAAAACAAGTCTTTTTTTAGAAGACAAGCAGTTATACAATCTATAAATCCTTTGCAGTTAAATGTTAGATGTGATCCAAGCATCCATCGCCTCCAGGACCGACCGCTCCTTCAGAATCTCCACTGGCACCCCGTCCCACATCGGGTCCAATACACAGTCCTGCTCCCCACCCACAAAGCGGGGGGCTTTGTGGGTGGGGAGCAGGACTGCACAAAGTGTTTGAGGCTTTCTGGCAGACGCATTGAGCCTTTTATGAACTGTTTCTATAAGTCAGCATTTGCTGCTGACTCAGGCCAAGGGAATTACCCACAAGTCATTGCAATAGGACTTTAAACACAGGATGACCAGTGATAGCGTGGAGACTTAAAAAAAGATAAACCAAGAGGAATGCATGTTTGTCATATTAAAATGTATACATTTAAAACAACGATTAAAGATGAGAAAACCCACACAAAATCAGACGATATTTACTATTTAATTCTTATTTTGTCATTCAAGCTACGTATTTTGACAAAACGGTAACATTATTTAAAGTGAGGAAACAGCCTGGAAGACTTGTAAATACCCTTAATTGTAAATATTTGTTGACAGATACAGACAGAAGAGAAGAACCCTCTATGGCTCCTCGATTTATATATATATATTTCATTTATATATTATATTCATTTTTGTATAAAGGACTCACACAGAAGTGATGACATGAAATAACAATTCATAGTTTCAGGTTTTTGTATTGTGTACTTTTTACACGGTTCTGTAGTTGACTTGGTACTGGGACGGGGGGGGTCATGTAGTGATGGCTGAAGTGGACGAGGCATAGAACATCCGCTCTTTTAACCTCTGCTCACGTATGGACACACATTGCCATCTCCCAGTGGAGTCAGAAAAAGGCCAAGGTTAAAGGTCATCTCTCCCGTGGCGTGTGCGGGGGCGTTCTGAACAGGAGAGGGCCGCCACACCTTAATCCCCCCCCAAGAACATTTCAAAGGGACCTGAAAAACGTTTTGACACAGTGGATGAGTAAAGCGCGTCGAGCACTCGGTGTGTTTGTGGCACAGAGACCTCCCGATCCTTATTTCTGTGCCCCGCGTTCACACCACAAACGCGCTGTGTTCTCCTGCATGATGGGCGAGCTGATGAAGGACATAACCGTTGCTCTATTTTGTTGCATTAATTATTTCTGCCCTAACAGAACCTAGTTGTGTTTTGCTCTGTTTCATCAACGTTCCAATTAGTTAATTAGATCGGCTGGCGCTTGGTGCTCTGATTCTGGATCAGAAATATATGTGGACTCAACTGGCCTTGTGTCTTAGAGAAGCAGGAAGAGCTAAAGGTGTGTTGCCTCACCTCATTGACCACCACAGGCCTCGCTAAGTGACCGATTCAAAGGCAGTAAGATGTAGTCCTTGTCGCACGCGGGCCCCGCCGGCACAAATGGGTGAACGTTTAAGTCGATGTAAAGAGATGTCACACCTTTTTTATGGGCTTATCCGCTGACCTCCAGGAGCCAATCAGGCGGCAGGTATAAAGATGATGTTTGAAGGTCCAGGCTTCTCTCAGGAGGACGGGACAAAGACACATACACACACATAGTAAGAGAGGAGGTATCGGGGAGGGGAGGGGGGTTGATATTCACATGTGTGTTCATGCATGCTTTCCTGTATGTGTGGGAGGAACAAAGCAAGAGTGAGTAGTTAGGTGGAGGTGTGTTACTTTCAACATTGTGTGTGCGTGCGTGCATGTGGGCGCTGGGTGGTAGCTTTTCAAAGAGCAGAACATTTAATTGAATTCTGTGCAGCTCCTTGTTATTCTAGTCATGACCGAGAGCCTGCTCCGTGTTGTCCCAGCAGTGGGGGGGGCGGCCCTACCTGCAAACACGGCCAGGTTTTGCACTCGGTGTGTGTGTGTGTGTGTGGAAACTGGGGTTGTGAGGTGACTGTGGTGGAGCTGGTGTTGTTCTAGGGCAACTTGAGTCCTGATGTGGTAACGAGGAGGGGAAGTGGTGAAAGTCAGCCCTGAACCTCACCCTGAAAAGAAAGCATGAAACTGGCAGAACATTAATATTAAATATCTATATTTGTGTGTGGGTGAAAGGTGAGAGAATGTAATTTGAGGGTTCATGTGAAGCTATCGCCTCATTGTCCTCATTACAAAGCGACCCAAAGTGGACACAAACGGGACAAAACAACACAATCACGACGCACGTTGCTCCAGGTACGGAGGAGATATGCGGCCTAATGAAATGAGTCTTCCAGCAATTACAAGCTTAAACGATGATGCAAAAACTTAATTTATAGATAGATTTCACCCGGGCTTATCGCTGAGAAACACTGTAATAGCATTCGGCTGGGCGTGCGTGCTTGTGTTTGAGAAGATTGGTAAAAAGGTGACCAGGATCCAGATAATGAATTGCTGCAAAAGCAAGGACACCTAAAACCTCAGTGGCTCTCACGTGAGTTAACGATTGGCTTCATATTACTGGAGCTGAAGGGTAATTCTCCAGAGAGATGTTTATGGTACCAGCTAAATACGGCACAATGACAATCCAATCAACCCTTTGGCGCGCACATACACACACACACACACGCGCGTTCTCACTGACTTCGTTGTGGTTTGAGTGTTAAAATCAAAGATCTCAATGACATGGAAGTGCCACAAGCTTATTGATCTATAAAGATATGTCTGGTTCCTTGGTTCTTGTTCTTTTTAATCATGGTTCAACATGTAACATGTAACAAGTATACACTGTGTCACACATACATACTGTTATGCTTTTTAAGTTGTGCTTTGTTGCATAATATCGCTAATTATGCTTTATTTTACGTGTTATTAAATAATGTATTTTTTACCTTGGTGTTTTATTATGGTGCACATACTAGTCTGTGGGCTCTGTAATTATTCACCTGTGTGAAAGTGAGATCAATAAGAAGCCCACTGACTTTTGAAATTGATTACATTTTAAATATGTTTTGTTTTCTAATGAAGAGGGCTCAAAAAACAATATAATGTACAATTTAATCACTGATTTAAGGAACGTGTTTGGGGATCTGGTGTTCAGACCGTGACTCGAGTGTGTAATCGCTGGTCTGACATGTTCCCCACTCACAGGTCACGTGGTAAATAAATACATAGATTTCCACGAGCACATGCTGACCAGCAGGTTACAATGGAGTTCTGAAATGGCAATTTGTCACATGAAGCGACATATTAACCCCCCCATTGACACACACACACACGCACACATAATGTCTCTGTGTAGGTTCTGCTATTTAGCAGTACAGTAAATGAACATGATATTTAAGTGACTGCCATTTCCTGAGAGCAGGCTTTTCTTTCCCCCTCCTCCCCCTCCTTCCCCTCCTCCTCCCGGCTTTTCTCTAAATTTCCCCGGGGAGCTTCAGCCCCCCCCCCACCCCCACCCCTGGGTTTGGCTGGGTGTCAGAGCCCCAGCAGCCATGATACTTCATCAGGGCGTTGGCACCATTATTGGCAAGAGCACCTCCATATCCTCCTTAGCAGTTATAACATTTCAATTTTTCCTTTGAAATGCTGAGCCTAGCAGAACATATGGCAATATTTTGGCTTTTAAGTCGGGGGTTGGACCGAAGGGGCGTAAAGCGCCCCGAAACACGGCGTCACAGGCTACGCACCCTTTGACCTGTTCTCCAGAGCGTCAGAGCGGCCCCCGGTCGGGATGTTCATAATCGGCACAATTACACAACGCTGTCAGAACACTTTCCCCCCTGGTGGATGGCAAGAGCTGTCCTATAAAGGATCATCCCCCCCCGCCCCCTCTCAAGTGTCTGCAGAGATCCATTCAACATGAGGGCAGTCAAACCTCCTCTGTCACACTGTGCCCCCCCCCCCCCCCCCCCCCACATACTTACCAGCACACTCTTCTGTGAGCTGAGGTAGTTCGCCCAGCTCGCTAATTTTAATACTGTCCTCTCACACCGTCCGACTTTTCTGAACCCCCCCCCCGCCCTTTTCTTACATGGGGGAGTCAGTGCTTCTGGGAAGAGGAGGAGAGAAAGAACTATCAAATTTTATTCACCAGCTATTGTATCATTTTCAGCTCCTCGAGAGACTATGGATTTTTAGACCACTCCATTACTAATTAATGCTGGGAGGGGGGTTCAGGACGGGGGGGGGGCTTGAGATTTGGCCGACCCTCCTAGAAACCTAATCCAAATCAATAGGGTTGACCTTGGGCTGGACTGAAGGGAGTGTTGTGACTGAGCTATCGCTGAGGGTCATGATTTATAGTTCAAAAGATTAGCTTAATGTTTTGGTGGGTAGACTTGTGTTTGTTACTATATTATTAACACTTATATACACTATAACACTTATCATATGGTGGTGTGTCATTAATACAACTAATTTGGAATATATTTGAATTCTAAATGATGTATGTACCCCTCTTTATTTTTACAATTTCAAAGTGGTCCATTATGGATATATTTTGTTCTACTGTGATAGTCTTTCCATACTTATACGTAATATTGTGTGATTAAAAAAATTCTCAATAACAATATCACAAACCCAGCAGCTTTTAATTGATGTCTTTTATTGTGAGATGGGGAGTCATAAAAAAAAAAGAACAAAAAAGAAAAAACACCAAAAAAATCACTATAAAAAAGATGAGGCTGTTAAAAGGGAGAGGGGTATATAAAAGTGGGCGTGGTCTTGACACGGACATAAAGTAACAAATTGGCACAAAAAAAAACATATGAACAAATGTCAATATTATTTTGGCTTGGCAGAAAGGACAGTTTGTGTGGTTAAGAGTAATCCTTCAATAAAACAGCACACACTCATGCTATTAGACATACGATTAGTTTTCAAAAGTTCAGTAGCTTCATATTAGAGAGGGGAAAGAAAACTAACATGAGAATAGATGCACAGAGGTCATAGGTTCCAATTTTCAGGCTTGCAGGGTGCGAGTTCTTTTTCTGAGGAAAAACCTTTTATTTGTTCGAATAACATACTTCAGTGTGCTGGAGAATATTTCCAGGCTCAAAGTTGTTTGCCTTTGTTTTCCATACTAAAATATATTATCGTATTAATACAAACTACAGTCTTGTACACTACATTGTGTAATAAATAACCATAAAGAAATATAAAAAATAAGACACATAAATATAAAAGTTCTCTATGACTAAACAGACATACCCATCTCCTTGGGGGTGGGGATAATACTGCCATTGCTGAAAACATACAGTACACACAAGGAACCAGAACGTAAGAGACAAAAAATAATACTGACAGGTAAAAACATTGCTGACTCCTCAAATCCATATTCGCCTACATTTTGTTACCTGAAGAGACATCTGAGCGTTTCATGGTGTGTTAATAAACAAGTGCACCGAATGAGCTTTGACAAAGGCAGGACACAGTTAGTTAGAACTCATACTTCATTATCCATGTGCATTGGAACTCTTTTAGCTGCTCGGATTAGAAACAAAAAGCATTTTCTCTAAAATCTAGAATGGGTGAATACGCGATGGACCAAACTCTCTCAGCTGTGTATTCCGCCTCATGGGTTGATCTGGGACTGGCAATACCTGATCGTAGCTGCTAGCCTTCCACAGCAATATTCAATGGCACTTTTGATATGCATGCATTGTCTTGTTTAGTTTGATTATTTTTTTTGCATATGGCTCGGAATAGGGGGGAAGGCATGGGCGTGATTTTGGGGGGGGGAAGACTGTTTTCTTGATCACCTCTCTGCTTGCTCTGAACACTTTTTAGGAAAATGCCCTTATTAACTTTCTGGATGAGATCAGATGAGAATATTGATACGGCATACTTTAAATGTGCAGCAGAAGCAACAGGAATGATTAGCCTCGTTTAGCATAAATACTACACATCTGGGGGGGGGGGGCGGTTGCTCTGATGGGAACAAATAGTCCTGCATTTAGCCACCTACTGGACTGGAGTTTGAGACAGTAGATAAGCAGGACATACAACCTCTAGCTTAAGCAGCGTTACGTTTAGCTTCAGCTAGTTTTTCTCCCTCTTTCTTTTCCTCATAAAAAGCCTAATGCAGCTAGGAAAAACTAAACCAAGTTAAGCTAAGCTAAAGTAAGCAAAGCCAAGCTTAGCAGCTGCCGGCTGCAGCGGTATATTTATCGGACACATATATTTGGATTCTCATAAAGAAAATATCTAGGTTTATTTCCCAAAATGTCAAACTATTAACTATAAAACACTGATTTGTAAAGGAAACGTTGACAAAGAGGAATCTACAATTCTGAAAGGAAGTAAATGTCCGCTCTCCGTTGTCATTTTTCTTAAGGCTCACAATCCAAATGAAAGAATAGCAAAAAAAGAGACCTAATGCTAACATCTGCTAGCGTGGTGGCGTGGTATATCTAGTGCGGTAATACTGAAGGGTGGACAACACAACTCCACTGCTCGATACATCGGTAAACCAAGCCACTTGTAGTGCACAGTATTTGTCTTTTTTTTCCTTCCAACTTAATAAAATACTGAGTTATTTTTTTGTTCATTGGCAATAAAAAGGTATAGAAATATCTCCCGACTGTACAGCTTTCAAAGGTTAAAATATGAGTGAGAAAATTAGTAACACTGATAAAAAGAAATGACCCACGGTGTTTTAGTAATAAAACATTATCTAAAACGTGTCGGCTCTAGCTTCCAAAGTCTGTATAATGCATTTTCTTCGTTAGTTAAAATTTGTATTTGTCTTCATCTTTTTCTTTACAAATTGATTTTTTTTGGACAGCGAGAAATCGCTCTCCACCGGAAAAGTCACTAGTATTTTTTTAAATTCAGGCACACCTGGATTTTCTACACAGTAGTGAACTGAAAGGAACTGTCAGAGTGACCGGACATCACCTCCTGCATTCTTCCTGCGCACGGGGAGAGGAGGAGAGATGTGATTGTGTCTCGGGGAGGAGTCGGGGTGCCTCTTTCAGTCCGTATCGCATTTCTCCTGCAGCGTCTGGTTCTGCTCTCCACAAGCCGTGTCTGTTTCGCCTCCACTCCCCTCTGTGACCTCCACCTCTGCTTTCCCCTCTTCCGTCAGCCCTTCCTCTGCATCCATCGCCTCCTCATCCTCCTCCCCTTTCTCTTCCTGACTGCTTCCGAGCAACTCATCCCGCCTTGAGTCAGCCTCCTGGTCTTCCTCCTTGTCTTCCTCTTCCGCCTCTATTGCTGTCTTCTTCTTCTGCCCTCCTCCCTGCACCAACACTCTCTCCATCTCCTCCTCATTCCTCTGCTCGTTACCTTCCACCTCCACCATTTCTTTCTCCATCTCCATTTCATTCCTTTCCTCCCCCCCTTCTCTCTCCTTTAATACTATTTCTGTCTCCTCCTCAATTCTCTCTTCTTCCTCCTCCTCATCCCCTCCTTCGTCCCCTATCTGCACCACTTGGATGTCATCCATGTCCACAGCGCCGTCCTCCTCCTCGTCTTCACTCTCCTCGTCCTCCCTCGTGCTGCTCCCCCGCTCGTCCAGGTCCAGCTGGGAGGGCGCCAGGAGCCGCTCCAGTCGAGCCAGCGCCTCCATCTCGGCCCGGGCCTCGCCGTCCTCCTCGGGGCTCTCGCGGCCTTCGCCCTGCGTCTCCTTCTTGCAGTAGGAGTAGCGGTGGTTCATGTGCTGGAGTAGGAGCCCGAGTGCGAGAAGCGCTTGCCGCACTTGTCGCACTGGTACGGCTTCTCCCCCGAGTGGAGGCGCATGTGTTCGATCAAGTGGTGCTTGTGTTTGAAGGCCTTGCTGCAGATGCCGCACTCGTGAGGCCGCTTCCCTGCAGAGGAAAGAGACAGTAAGATGTGCGTCAACATTTAGGAGGAGTGAAGGCGCTGTTGGGTTTAATAAGGTGCAGACATGGGAGTAATAATCCCCCCCCCCCCTTTAAGAGGCTGAGATCTATCATCGGTGTATCCAAGCAAGACGTTTCAAAACAATACAACACAATCACAAATGGGCTCGCAAAACCTTCAAGGAAACTTTATCCAGGCAGTGAGCTGCTTTTCACCTCGCGATGAGGTCATTTGAAGCTGAAAACCACTGTTGCAAGCCAGGTATCAGAGTAAGAAAAAAACAAACCAACGCCTCTGAGAGTGTTGACCCACACTTGGCCACGGAACCATCATCTCAGAGCAATCCAAATTACTACCAGAGCTCGCTTCTTGCGAAACATTCGGGGGCTTCACATGAGAAGCTGGCAGTGCAGAGGTGGGGAGTTGGCGGAAAGAAGTTCTCAGACCTCTTCTGCGCGTGTTGAGTAATACCTGCTGGAATGGAGGTGTCCACCCCTCTCTGGGCTGCAGCTCAAAATCCCCCTTTCTCTCGCACTCTGACTCATCTTTACCAAGAACTAACAGTGCTGGTGAGACCAGTTCCGGTTGTGCTGTTTTATGTCTTATGACACACGAGAGGTGGTATTTACCCGTGTGTTCGTATTTGTGTCTCAGCAGCGAGCTGCTCTTCTGGAAGATCTTGTCGCACAGGTCACAGGCGTACATGCTGCCGTCCGTCTTCTTCATCTTCTTCCGCGCAGGGCCCGAGTCCGAGTCGTTCTGCTCCTCCATGGTGGACACGCCTTCTGAGCCCGTGTCGTGCTTCTCCTCCTGAGGAATGTGACAAATCACAGATGTATTCAAAGGGTTTTCAAGACCAATGACTCACGCTGCAGCACGGGAAACTAGCCTGTGTCACAGCCTACTTAAATCTCTCTTGGATGCTCTTTTTAAAAAGTAAAATCTCTCCGGATTTCCAGGTTATGGATGAGCAAGTGTTTCCTTGGCCCGAACTAATACACATCCTGTTCACTTACCATCACACTTCCGGGTTCTCTGCCATCCCTGGGCTGGTAAAACTCATCTACTGATGCAGCGCAACAGGATGTGGGGCAGTATTAAGGGGATGATATATACACGGAGCTCGTCCATTTTACAAGGCAGGTCTATGCCAATCCACTTAACACAAAAGTATAATACAACAACAATAAATCAATGAGGCAGGCAGAGGTGTGCCGTTTAAACAGATTCCATCAGATCAATAGGAGCTCTGCAGTAAAGTGCAGCCTCATGTCCTCCAGGCGACAGCCTGGGAAGATCACTCACACACCCGCAGCCATCTACATCCATCATTAGGCGTCGGCACAATGAAGAACTATTAAGGGCTGAATTCAGACGTTTCTATATATGACTTATTGATTACGTTTGGGATGGTTTCACACTATCTATCATGTCCTGGTGGATTTTGAACAATGAGAAGTAATGATCTGGACGGAGGGGTTTGACTGATCGCTCCTAGAGAGAGAAAAGACAGAACCACTTGCTTGTGAAAATTCGCTCCTGCATAATCTGCTTTCAGCTGTTTTCTAAGTCAAACCTGTTTGCTGTAGCTGACCAAACTCCAGCAGCATCGTAGTGTAAAGAGCAACTGTGCTGTCAGACTTGCGCTAATGAAACTAGAGTAACAAAAGCTCTGAAATGCTGATGAGGCAAATACAGCTCTGAGCACTTAAAATTAACATCCTCCCTTGTCCATTACATTAGCGTGCTTTAAAGGTGCTTGTTACTGGGCTCTCGCGCTTGCTGTTCCCCCCTATTTTCAGTCTGTGCTAAGCTACATGTAGGCTATTCCTTATCTTGATATTTCGCCTACAGAGAGCAGTATTGTGTAATCGCAGGAAAAAAAAAGCAAATGAGCACGTTTTCCCAAATGTCAAACTCTGCATTTGAAAACTGGGACACTCAGCTGCCACATTGGGGGAGTAAATGATTACACACCTTAACTCCGTTGAGGTGGATGGTTTCCTGCGTCTGGGTCCCAGCAGGGCTACTGGCTGTAGTGGTATAAGTGTAAGCCAGCTGGGGGATCAGGATAGTCTGTTTGTTGTTAGTGGCGAGTGCTCGTAGGCATTGCATTGTGGTCACAATGTCAAGGGCTTTGGCACCTGGCTGGCTGGCGTACAGTGCGATGGGGCTGGCGCCCATGGCTGAGAGTGGCGATGCCTCTTTCTTTGTGCAAGTTAAGTTTAGGGGTTCATCCACATCCATATTGGAGCCAGAGGAAGGGGAGGGGTAAACACGGGCTACAGCCATCACTCTCTCCCCTTCCTCTCTGGTGGGCCTTGGCAGCGACAGGTCTAGGGGTCCCTCAGTGCTCTGGGGAGGCGGGGCTGGGACGGGACCCCCAGCTGTCAGGTTTAGAGGTGAGGGAGAGGCTGGGGTGCTGTGACTGCCGTTGACTTCCGCTGGGGTGGCTTCGGTCGGGCTGCCCCGGGTCCCGGAGGGGCTCATATTGGCCGTGTCCTTCCCCGGGACAAGAGACACCACTCTGCTGGCTTCACAGGTGTCCTCCTCCTCCTCCGAGGGAGGTGTCGGGGCACCCAGCGATATCTGACCCTCCTGCATTTTGTCAAACCACTTCTTAACCACATGGATTGGCAGGCTGACTGAGTCGGAGATCTTTGCCAGCTCGTCCTTGGTGGGCTCTGCGTTTAAGGCAAAGTAAGCCTTGAGCAGGGACAACAGGTTCTTGGGTTGATTACAGAGACCTCCCTCTGAAAGCAAGGCAGCAACAGCAGAGTCCGACTTATCCAGGCCCACTCCGTTCAGCCTCACGCCGTCCTTCTTGCAGTGCGTGAGGGCATGGAGTGCTTCCAGCCCACCGGGACAGTTATCACACAGGAGACAAGTCTTAGTGGTGTTTTCCTCTTTTTCTTTCGTTTCATTTGGCCCGGTTCTCCTGATGGTCAGATCCTCAGGGAGTTTCTGGGATTTGAAGGTGTCAGTGGTGGTCTGGTCTGGAGAGGTGGGTTCAGACTCTTTCTTCAGGTTGTGGGCCATGAGCTGGCCCTGGTTGGGGTCCAAACTGTAGTTTATAATGATTTTTGCATTTCCATCTTGACCCACAATGGGCAGGCTGATGGCTGAGATGAGTTGCTGCTGTGCAGGATGGAGCATTCCAGTGGTTAACCCCGAGTTCACCTGCCCTTGGCCTTTGGCATTGCTTTCTAGGACCTGACGAATGACGTTACCGTCTACCGCCACTTTGAGAGCGTTCTGCAGGTCTGCCAGGTTGATGCTGATGGGGGACATCAGCCCCACCGTGGGCAGGACCACGGCTTGCACTGTGCCCTGCAGAGGAGTGGAGCCACCTCCATTGAAAACCCCGCCGTTCATGGCGGCCATGGCTTGGGATGTTATCAAGGTCGGCTTGTACTCGTAGTCCACAGGCTCGGTCTTGATCTGATTGAGTGGCAGCTGCTCCTGTAGGGGCTTGCTGTGCTCCAGCTTCTCCCTGATCTGGGTGTGGAGGGCCGAGGGTGACGTGGGCAGAACCGGCGATAGACCCTGGCTCTGGGTTTTGGCGTTCCCCGAGCGCGGCCTGCCGTTGACTGAGATGACGCTGATGCACTTCTTACTGCTGATGTGGGAGCTGTATGAGCCTGAGTGGGAGAAGCGCTTCTTGCAGTTGGAGCACTCGTAGGGTTTCTCTCCTGAATAAAACGATGACGTGGACAACAGAGAGAGAACAGAGGGGGGGAGGGGGGGGGGGACGCAGACGGATTTCCATTAGTGAATGAAGCAAAGTGAGCGAGCTAGGCAATGAGCATTGTAGTATAGTAGGAAAAAAGCTCTAATGCATTTCAATGATGCTTAAACGCTGATGTAATGGCACCGTTGGGAAATGCCCCTCCCTAATTGCTGTCCCATAATGCCAAAATAAACACAATTATGGTAAAATAAGGACTGAAAAACAATTGAGGATGTCTAAATACAGGGAATTGGTAAATACATAAATAAACCATAAATATCGGTTCAACGGAACCATCTGTGGCCAACAGAGAATCATGGCAGAGAAGTTCAGTGTCACGTGCATGCACAAACCAACACACACAGACACGAGCGAAATGCTGCCATGGTGACGGGGTTGTCCACTCACCGCTGTGGATGCGTAGGTGCTCCTTTAGATGGTGTTTGTATTTAAATGCTTTGCCGCATTCAGTGCACTTGAATTTACGATTGCCTCCCGACTGGGGGATGTGTCTCTGTTGGACATGGGAAGAGAGGGGGACATTCAGTGAGATGCACCTTGAAAACACAACCTTTGCACCGTTGATCATTTGCGTCGCAGTGTCATTAATCAATCGCGGAGCAAAAGTTCATGTTTATTTGTCCTGAGCTGCTGGAGACACAAAGCTTTCATGTAGGTTTGCATAATTTAGGATCACTTTGAGCGTAATCACCACCGAACGCTACTGAAACCTTCTGGCGAACCAATCCAGCCGCTTTGACTACTATAACGTGATGCATATAAATATCAAACTGAAGCACAGAATAATCTGTCATACAAATTATTCGACTACTTTCTTACTACATGTTTCCGGTAAATCCTGCAAAATGTTGAACCAGACTAGAGAGGAGTATCTAGTTTGTAAAAATAAAAAAATACCTTTCCTTACCACTCACAACACTTATGTAGGAAAAACTAAATAAAATCACATAAATAATGAAATACAGGGGAAAGGGGGATTTTTTTAGTTTCACCCGGGAAGTTGTGCTATCAGGATCCAACCCTGTCCTGTTGGTCAGTCACTCCATTTTTTTTTTTACCTGATCCCGTCCGCCCTTGTGGACCGTCATGTGCCGCTCCAGCTGAGCGCGGTAGGCGAAGCTGTAGCTGCACTCGGGGCAGTTGAAGCTCTCCTCCGTCTTCTCGTGTCGGTACTTGATGTGCTCCTTCAGGGAGCTGTAACGCTTGTAGCCTCGTGCGCAGTACGGGCAGGTGAGCAGCTGAGAGAACGAATCGGGAGTTCCTGTGTGGAGAAAAAAGACAAATGTTGTAAGGACATATATCAGAGTGAAGGGGAGGGGCGAAAGGGGGGGTGTTGTACCCACTCAATCAATAGACAGAGGCTCTTTGATGTTACACAAGGCCTGCCACAGTAACACTGCGAGTTCACCACTGAGAGACCCTGCCCCACAGGTAAACAGCTCCCAGGTGACCAAATGGACAAAGGGCGATTAGTGATCCGTAATAGTCCTTGTCCGTCCTGTCCTTGTGGAAGGGGCGCGCTCGGCAGCGATGCAGGGGCCTCCATTCATTTATGCTTTTGTACTTCTTGCGCAGCAATTACAGCTTTCACCCCTGAAATTCCATTTGATTGCCCATTGTGCGTTTTCGGAAAACACCCACGCATACGAGGAAAAGTAAGCTGGGTAAACACCTGGCTGCGCTGACAGAGGGTCTCGGTTGCTTGGCTCCCACACAGGTGAAGCATTAATTTGTTAACAGGTGATGTATTGGTGAGGGCCTCGGGATGGGAATGCGTGCACACACACTGCCCAGGTGACTGTGAGCCGAGAGCTCACGCAGACGTGACAAATTTACTCAGGTGCTGTAGTTTCTCTTCCTGCCCTCTACCCCCCCCTCCCCACCATCCTCCTTTGTGGCAGCAGGTAAAAGGCGAAAAAAAAGCCAGGGAGCAATAAAAAGGTCCCAATGTGCTGCACTTAACAAATAACGGCGTGATGTAATGATGTTGGAGAGTGGCGTTAATGGGGGAAGTTAACACCTAAAGGTGAGACGGGGGAGCAGGTAGAGCCGGGGGGATTGAGTTATTACTGGGTAGGTGCAGTAATAGTGTAAGAGCTTTTTGACTGAGCTCTCAGGTTGATATGCTGGTGTGTGTGTGTGTGTGTGTGTGTGTGAGACTGTACACCTGGCTTGTGTGCACTACCAACAGGGACATGAATGTCATTTAAAGCAATCAGAGGAAATGGATAATTACACAAACATGCTATTATGTCCCGTACCGTTCTCATCGTGGACGCCGGCGTCGGGCGTGCCCTGGCGCTGGGGCTCGTCCTCCGGGGCTTCTGGGTAGATGACTGCCGTGTCCCCTTGCTGCAGCATCTCCTCCAAGTGGGCGTCTGTGCTCCCGTCGTCCTCGCCGTCCGACGCGCACTCCTCCTTCACTGCGAGGGGGAGGGGGGAATACAGGCGCACAGATTAGAGTCACGCCCGCGAAGGAGAGGCTTCATTGAACACGCCGTCATTTGTCAGGCGCACGTGTTTTTCTGTCGATGCGGGCAGCGAGTATGAAACCCAAACCTCTGTAATGTGATAATCTAATAATGGCACTGTCATTATAGCCGAATTGGATCTTACAGTCCGGGCCCTTCATCATGACATAATCAACAGCCTGGAATGAAGCACGCGGTGCCGGGGGGGGCAAAGAATGAAACATCCTGAATTCTGTTGTTCACAATAGGATGAGAAAACTAATTAGCGTCAAAGGCCACGGGGCGACTGTATGAGCACAGAGCGCTTTGTTAAGACCTGAATGCCAGAGCCCTCACTATGTTAGGTAAGGTACTTGTTTGGACTGCGACTGATAATTAGGTGATGAATCTTGTCCTGATGTATTGCAGTGGATGGATATCACACAGCAAGGTCTGCGTTCACACATGCTACTAAACACACACACACACACACACACACACACAGAAAGCTCTCCTCTCTGGAGAGGCTTGGCCTTCAGACTGCTCAATATCCCAGCAAATGAGTCTGCACGTGGGAGCCGAGTACGTGTTCCCCCCCAAACCTCCCCGTGCATCACACAAGCCCGACTAGCTAGCCTAACGAGTACTAATTAGCGAGCGGCGGCTTGTAGAATGTGTAACCCGAGGATGGAGTTTAAGACGCGCAGGGGACACTTCCTTTCCTTGTTTCCGCCCCTGCTCTCAATCAGCTTCCTCGAGTGGACACCGGAGCAGAGTGTGGTGTGTCTGCAATTAAATCCGAGCATTAGTGCTCCTCGGATACTTTAGCGTGCCCGTGTGTATCATCACAGAGGATAAGGACGAGGGTGAGCCATCAGCTAAAAGCAAAGTTGTGGTGTTTAGCGGGCAGATGTTCTCCTTGGAGACGGGAACAGGTGTAGCGCTGCCAGTCTCACCGGCACACAGTGAATACCAGCGCTCTTACACACGGCCCTGCTCATGCTTCCTCTGGTGCGCCGAGACAAAGCCCCCAAACAATGTCAGTCCTTTGTTGCTACGGTTTTTGGAGACTATTTCCAGAAAACATCGCACCCTGTAGAAGAAAGAAAAAGAAAAACCGAAGCCAACACCAGGTGTCCAACTGTGTAATTCTCATCATAAGGTGCGCCATGTTTCCTCTTATAGATATAGTTTGCTATAAACCCTGTTATAGCTCTGTTAGCTGCAAGCCACCGCCATGTGGAGAATCGTGTGGAATAAATTGAGTGCCTTTGATGAATTGCTTTTTATTTTCCACACTTCTGTTGTGTAGACATTGTGAAAGAATGTGGGAAAGCGCTGACCTGACTGTGTTTAGCTCACAAACATACCTGGAGGCTTCTAAATGTTCATCATATGTGTCCCGGTTGGGGGTCTGCGATGCAAAGGTATGAAAAGCTGTTGTTTGTCCCTTCTTGCGTGCGTGTCTGTCTCTCTCAGCTCTTTGTTCCGTACACAGCGAGGCCAAAGAGGTTTGCAGCCTCCGTGTTATCAGCCTGCTCCCCTGACATGAAACATCACACAGGCTATTTATTTGCTGACGCAGGGATGTGTGCGCACCACTGCACAAGTGGATAATGGTTCCACCCCCCCCCCCCCCCCCAGCAACAATGGCCCTGTGAGGCTGCGGCAGCACACTCTGCAGCGGCTTTGATGCAAAAACAAATCCACAACAACAATTTCTTTCTTAATTTTTACAGAATAACCGAGTCACCAGACCACCCACTCTCTCCTCTTCCCTTTCTCGTCACTCTGTGCCAACATCTCTGCAACATGATAACAATGGCATCCCATGTGCATTTCCTGCCGCTGCCGACCTTTGCCTCCGCCGATCCCGTCCTGCGGTTGCGCATCCAGGCCCTGCTCGTGTGTTCCATCTCCACACCACAGATACGGACTCTACGCAAACTCCTCAAATTACGGTAAATTTGTTAGTGGAGATGTTGCAGTTTTTCTCCCGTCAACAGGAGTGTTCTTTCCTGTCCAGAAGTGTGGCTCAGCTATAACATCAAACCGTGACACACAGGAATGTTAGTGTTTCCAGAGAGGGCCTCAATGAAACAAGTGATCCAAAAGGATGTGTAAGGGCCACCCTATATCGTTACGGCATATCAGAGGTGAAACGCTGAGGATAAAGTCGTAAGAGCTTTGCAACTTTGCAGCCGGTTACAATAATGCAGCAGAGCCCGAGTGCACGCACTCGACTACCAACCAGCTGTAATCATGCTCTTCAGTTTGTCAAACATAAAGGAAAAGTCCTCCCAGGTCAACGCTCTCTCTGCCTTTTTAAATCCCCTGGAGTCACTCAGCCTGTTCCTGGAGGAAAACAGGCTGCAGTTTAATGCACACCAACACTTGGCCGCTCCGGCACTACATAATCATTTAGGAGTGAATGAGTAATGACAGCGAGCATGATACCATGTAATCAAGAGGAATGATTCAGAACAAGAGGAAACCAGTGAGAGGGAACGGAGCAGGGAGGGGAGGACCGGGCAGATGGCAACAACGCTGAAAAACCACCGCTTCAGGTTTTTAGAGCACGGCTGTCCCAGGAGAAGGAGTGTAAAAAGATTCTTTTTTAATTTGAATGAGCTCGGCTGTGCCGAGGAGAAGTGTTACGACCCCCGGTCTTGTCTGTGTTCTGTGTGTGTGATAACCCTCCTCAGGTGGAGCTAATTGTCTTCATTACTCATCCGCCCTCCCGTGATCTCCTACAGCTGGTTCCTGTTTTCCCATCCTCCAATCGCATCGTCCCATCAGCTGTATTTATGTGTTTCTGGGTTGTTCAGTCTATATCTCTCAGCAGGGTGTAAGTTGTGTTTGGGGTGCTCTTGTGAAATTGGTTGTACATGGTGGAGTGTTTTGGAGTATTGAAAGTATTAATCATTTGTATTTCGTGTGTCCTTCCCAGGGAGAACGGAAAGCACTTGGGAGTGTTAGGAAAGACGCCCTGGGCATACATCACCCGTAGGGATATCTCCTGTTATACACACCAGGTTAGATCTGAGCGATCCACCCCCTGTATTTTTGGTTAGGGCGCCTTGCTCGAGCGCCAGAGTAAATAAGTGTTTTGTGTAGGACGTTGGGACAGGTAAGGGGTGGGGTTTTGCTAATTTCTTTGTTTTGGATCAGCTCAGCCGTCCTCCCATTTCCCTCTATTGTTTATTATTATTATTATTATTATTATTATTAATAAACTGGCACGTGCTATAGCCTGTTTAAACCAGACCCATCGATGTTGGTGTGATTACTTGCGCCCACACCCGGTCTCTGGCCGTCTGGGGTTCTGGGCAGCGCGGTGTATGTTCCCCTCCCCTCACGGGGTGCTGTACGAACGTAACAAGAAGATTAGCGGCTGGCCGTCAAAATTCAAGGCTGGGCCTGGACCCTTCTCCGCCCCCGGGAGTGAAACCACACTGAGGGGAGGGGTTGTTTGTTTACAAGCCCGTGGCTTTCCTCCCGTCTCGTCAGGAAATGACAAGAAAGATGTTGCTTCATGTATGTTATGACAGCTACAGACAGTAAAAAAGAGAGGCGTGTGTGTGTGTACGTAAGTGAAGGCAGGAGGGGAAATATGCCTGGATCAGGCATAGGGTGGAGGACAGCCAGCTCCTGAGCTGTTTC